GGATACACACTCGACATTCTGTACCAAGGGGGCATTGGCCATGCAGGGATACACACTCGACATTCTGTACCAAGGGGGCATTGGCCATGCAGGGACACACACTGGACATTCTGTACCAAGGGGTTATTGGCCATGCAGGGATACACACTCGACATTGTGTAGCAAGGGGGCATTGGCCATGCAGGGATACACACTCGACATTCTGTACCAAGGGGTTATTGGCCATGCAGGGATACACACTCGACCTTCGGGCATTTATAGCCTGGTCAGAACCAACTTACCAGATTAATAGGACATGCACCAAGAGGGATTAACGACAGGGGAGCCGTTAAAAATACAACCCTGATCAGTGATGCAATAGATTTTTATTCGACAGGGGATATCCAAATTGAGGATATTAGTGAAATTATAATCATCATAATATCATAATGTCAAATCACTGACCAGATGCATGGGGTTTTGAAACAAAGAGCCAACGATGGAAGTCAACGGAGGAGGCTGTGGATGCTTGCCGTAAAAGGCGACTATGCTTGTTGTAAGAGGCGACTTCGGGTGGTCAGGATCGCTGACTTGGTGCATGCATGTCATCGTTTCACATTTGCGAGGATCGATGTTCATGATGTCAATCACTGGGTTGTCTGGTTCAGACTCGATTATTTACAGACCGCGGTCATATAGCTGGAATATTGCTGAGTGCGACGATAAACAACAAACAAACAAACAAAATTGTTATTTATGCCGATTACATGACGTAGGTTAACCAACTCTGGGTCTAATACAACCATCGTCACGCTACAACTATCTACTTACAAAGCAGACTTTCGTCCCACACTGGCGCACTGCACGTTGTGTCGACATGGGTGAGATTGTGGCAGGGACGTCATTCATTCATCGTGTATTCAACGACACACCGGAGCGCACCGGATGTACCTACAGATAATTGGAGTGATATATGTCTCATGAGCAGTGAACCTGTACTGACCGCGTGAGTGTGTGAGTGAGTGATTGATGGTTTGCGACTGAGAAGGCATATTTGTGATTGCATCAGTGTTCATTGAGTAAGTGAATGTTGTTTAATGCCGTGGTCAACATATTTTCGCACTATACATAGTCTGAAAGTAATAGTCTGGATGGAGAAACCAGTGACTGAAAGCGGGAACAACGATATCCGCCCCATCGGGGCACGATGACACATAGTAGGTGAAATCCTCAGTTTTAACGACAAGCTTGGAGATACTGACCTAGCATGTCCTGGAATCCCCACGGGGCTGATAGTGAGTGAGTGAGTGAGTGAGTGAGTGAGTGTGTCAGGTGGTAAATGTGTCAGTATGTTGTTGAGTGGGTGAATATGGGGGCTTCACGCTGATATGGCAATATCATATTCATATGGTTATAATATGTACCCTGCACGTGCGGAATCGAAGCCCTGCCTCCTGCACAGCAACAGACGCCCGACCACGTGTATTGCCTGCTCCAACGTGTCACCCGCTGCATGGTGTCCAACCTGTGCCAGTGATACTCTCTGCGCAACAATGTGTCTGCATTATCTCGACCATCAACATTAACAATTAACGCCATGTCGCATTTATTTCAGCTCACATCAAACTGTCGCACAGTAAGTTGTTTTTGTTGAAACTCCCGTCTTTGCCAGCAGGGGCAAGGCGGGGCGAGTTTTCATTGTTGAATTATATAGGCAAGATTAAGAATTAATCCCGCGTCCTTACTCCCGGTGCAATGCGTCTGTTGTGGAACGCTGGTCTTAACTAACGGGAGTAAGGTTTTCCTTGTCTCATAGAGACAATATGTACAACGCTCAAGTGAGCCATAGATAAGTGTCGTTAAGGACTGCAAGATATGTTATTCACTTTCAAGTCAATGTCGAACTAGGCGTCGCACATGCGTTCAGCGTCATCTGCTGGGATAGCTTGCCTCTTTGTATTTTTTATATGCAATATAACCATTAACAGAAGACGAAGTATACTTTTTGATGTGACATGTTCAACTGTATAAGATATTCCACGAATGAATAAACGATATTTCATTATATACTACGAGGGGTGTCTGAAAAACTGTCTGTCTGTGATGGACTGTGTTGACGGAATTGGTTACTAAATATTTTTCGACATAATCCTTTGTGACGTCCACAGACTTCTGGCAAAGATGCTGGTGTTCCTGTGGATCTCACTGGTGTAGAAGGTTCATGTTGGCGTTGTGAAAAGTCGTCCTCCGCAGAAGAAACAAACAAACAAACAAACACTTTGATGCGAGTCATCAACACGGCGGGAAACTCTTTAAAACCGGTGACACGCCCAGTTCATGTACCCAAGAATGTGCCCTCTTGAGAGACGCCTGCTGCATTGCTGACATTTGGCGAGTCTTGGACCATACATAGTCATATATAATCTTCAAAAAAAGAAAAGCAAAACCAGATTTGTGTGAGGTAGGAAAAAACAATAAGGTATTGAGCCAAGATGTTGTGGAGAGAACACTTGGTGATCGTAGTCATCTCAGTTATCGGTACATAGGAAAAGTGCAAGGTGAAGGTCAGCTACCATCAATATGCGTATGTCCCCCCTTGGAATCGATAGCGGCCTGATATCTCCTGCCCACGGAAGAGACGAGTATGCGAATGACATTCTGGGAAATGATAGCCCACTCGACCTGCAACGCAAAAGCCAACTGCTGCAACGTCTGGGGTTGTGGTTGACGTCAGCCTAGCCGTCTATCCAATTCATCCCACATCTAATGGGTTCAAACCCGGGGATCTGGAGGGCCAGGGGAGAAAATCAACGTTGTTTTGTTGTGTAGACGGGCTCTTGTGATCTGTGCTGTATGCGGTCGAGCGTTGTCCGTTTGGAATACACCTTTGCTGTTGGCTGCAATTGGGAGGACGTGTGATAGGAGAATTTCGTTGATGTATCGTTGAGTCGTAAGATTGCCCTGGATATGGACCAAACCTGTCCTGTCATGATGAGCGATACCCGCCCACATCATAACGCTACACCCACCAATCCTGTCCACTTCATGTACGCAGTTTCCGGCGTAACGTTCTCCCCGACGTCTGTAGACTCGTGCTCTTCCATTCCCTCGACGGAGGAGAAATCTTGATTCGTCGCTGAACCAGACATCTCGCCATCGCAGTTGAGGTCATACCCTGTCTTGACGACACCAATGCAGTCGTTGTTGACGATGTTGTCGACTCAATATGACGCGTCGAACAGGACGTCTTGCTCGTACACCTGCTGCTCTTAAATGATTTCGTACGGTCACGATATTCTGCGCAGTCCGGGTATTTGGGATGCGGTTGAGGTGGCTGTGGTCGGCCTTTCACGCAGTCGGATGTAGCGATCTTTGGCGGGGGTGGTAACCCTTGGTCGTCCCGACCTTGGCCGATCACGTGTTGACCCATGCTGTTGAAACCGATCCCATAGTCTTGTGATAGTGCTGGGCGCTACATTGAAAACCCTGGCTACAGCTGATCGGGATTCCCCTGCCTGCAAGCGGCCTATGACGTTGTTTCTTTGCACTTCTGTTAATCGTTGGATGTTGTTTAACTGTCATTATTCGATTGACGCCGATGCCAGGCAATCAAAAACCATGCACTTTAATACCTTTTATAGTGCTGCTGCACGTGCAGTACGTGCAGCTCCATGGCTCTTTTGTTAATGCACTGGGTGCGTTCTTCCGAATTGTACGTGTTTCCCGACTAATGGTTTGCATGTCCTTGTGATTATTTTGATCCAAGAAATTTGTCACTGACACTATAACACATTAAACCTCTTCATTTTGCACCTCTTGGTCCGCTAATTTTGCTTTTATGGCCAAAAATATCAGTATGGCGTTTCTTTTTTTGAAGAGTATATCTTGTATTTTTAGACGCTGTCCTTAGTGGTGGCAGTTGAAGGTCACCCTTCAAGGGCGTTAACTGACTTTAACTAGATTTGAGTTCGGGAGTGTCATCTTGGCTGGACTAACGAGTCTATGCATAGTCCAATGAAAATCGCGTAACGAACTAGACATCTGGTTCGTAAACACGTGCAGATTTCGGTGGACTGAAGAATTTGCAAAGCATGTGTACTACCAACTGGGCATCGACAGATATTGTGCAAATCTTTTCATGATTTTTATCAAGGTGCTAAGGTATTTTGGTGCATTTCTCGAGATAAGGCCCATGGGCGGATACAGAGGGGGGGGGGGGGGGGGGGGGGGGGGGGGGGTGCGGGGGGTGCGCACCCCCCCTTTTTATTTCGAAAAAAATCTTTATTTCTGTATAAATTACCACCATAGACAGTAAATAGATCTTAATTGTGCACCCCCAACTCCCCCCCCCCCCCCCCACCCCACCCCCCCACCCCCCCCCCTTTAAAAAAAGCTGTATCCGCCCATGAGGCCCGTTTTGTGAAGAAGAAGATTTTGACTATCGATCAGATGGTCTTGACTGGGCGCCGCCATGTTGTTTGAAGCATTTGTTGGTGATATGAGAGGTGGAGTCTTATGGTCGATAGGATGGACATCGAAGGGACCATTTTACACCATGTGTAGTAACATCCGGTGAACTTGACATGTTTGTACTGGCATCTACCGGAGGAAGGCACTTTAACATAACTAAGATTGTGGATGATGTACATAAGAAGCATAACTTTTGATGTAAACTGACGAAAAAAAGAAACTTTATCAAACTGAAAGTCAAAACCCCGAATAGTGTTACAAAATGGTTGAGAATCAATTGCCCAAACACAGCCACAACAGTTTGCCGAGTAATGCACGTGCTACATTACCCAGATCAGTGGAACTTGAGTTAGAAGTGAATCCTTTGCTGCATTTGCAGCATGCCAGCCTACGAAGATATGGATATAAAAAGAACGATGTACTGGTCATTCACACACAAACCGTTGGACAGTGACGAATAACATGCTAAGAGTAATGGTGCTGAGAGAACAAACCATTGGTATGATACACGAAGAAGCAAGGCATGACCACGTTGCAATTAGTTTAGGATGAAGCCGAATGATAGTCATCAGGCTGATGGGCCGTTATAGGTCTTTGGTGAGAGTCACGACTGGGAGGCTGCCAACCCAATGATGATAATCAGGGCGATTAGGGGGGTTCGAACTCAATACAAGGATCATGGGACGACGTAGGGTCTTGGTCAGACTTGACGTGTATGTATGAAACAAGTGCCTGGTCCTGTGTGTACGCTTCAAGCTGGCTGTCGCGTTGTAATCTGAGTGGAAGGTCTAGTACATCGTAATTAAACCTCACCGGCCACTTCACCCTGTTAACTGAAGCAGAGGAAAATCCACGTCCGGCGAAAGTAGAAGTAATGCATTGCATGTGCGTGTTGGAGACAATCCAAACAACTGTCCTAACAATCATAGACATTTGGGTAAGTCCGTCATTTTTTGAATTCACAAATAAGGCAAATAGCTTTAAAAATATTAACATGTATGGTTTATACAGCATTTTGCAGCGAATATGGAATTATGACTCTTCTAACCCATGTCTGTTGTAGTATCTGGTTTACACGTCCACGTAAAGCACAGCCCGGGGCACAATACAGTGTACCCGTTCCATTTGGGGCACAATTTATTTCTCGTTTTCTAAATGTGGGGGCACATGTTGTCCCATGGAGTTGTTGGTTAGATCCTCATTCCACACTCCCAGGTTTGGCCTGTTCGCATCAAACATGCTGGTGGGTTTCACCGACGTTGTTTTCTTCCATGGCGACCCCGACACCTTGTGGGCAAATCCCACACTGACCGCCTTTATTGAAATACAGGGACCACGGTGACGCCGCTTTTAGCACTATTCCAGCATCAACACATCGGAGATAAATCAGAAATGGGTTTCACACAATTTACTCATGTATGGGAATCAAACCCTGGTCTTCGGCGTGACGAGTGAACGCTTTAACCACTAGGCATCTCCAAGGTATCATGTGTTTTTATTCACTTGGCTTGGGTGTAGCGCGCGACTCCACTTTATCTGTGTCGGGTTACCATAGGTCTTCGGCAACCCATGCCAGGCGACTTTACTTGTTGTGAAAGCCGACTAACAGAATCGGGTGGTCAGGCTCGCTGACTTGGTTGATGCATGTCATCGATCCCAATTGCGTGGATCGATACTCATAATATCATTCATTAGATTGTCTGGACCAGACTCGATTATTTACAGACCGCGGTCATATAGCTGGAATATTTATTGAGTGTGGCGTTAAACAACAAACAAACAAATTGTGTCGTCCCAGACTTGCCGCAGTAGATCGGATGGTCAAAATGTGTGACCCGAGTGTCATCGTTCCCGACGGCGCGGGTCGTTGCACTTGCATCTAACCCACTGATCTGCCTGCTGTTTCTGGACCGGGGGGTGGCGTGGATATTGCTGACTGACGTGAACCCGTGGTTAGACCTGGCTCGGTATGGAGTCGTTGTCTCTATGTTTTAGATTTCTTATAGCTTAATCTTGTAGGGCACATGGGTGTAGACATAATTCAATAACTGCAAACGGGCAGAGTGAATAAATTCCTTGCTGGTTTGGGTTCGAATCCTACAACTTTTTATTCTAAGTTAGTGTCGTGTCCGTGCAATGTCGCTGATACACTGCTCAGAAACAAAAAATGTCATCGCTGTTCTCACTGCAGATAACCAAAAATAGATTTATACCAGCCGACACTAAAGCGTGCACACCCTACCTCAGAATAACTGCCCACGTGCACACCCTACCTCGGAATAACTTCCCACGTGCACACCCTACCTCGGAATAACTGCCCACGTGCACGTCCTACCTCGGAATAACTTCCCACGTGCACACCCTGCCTCGGAATAACTGCCCACGTGCACGTCCTACCTCGGAATAACTTCCCACGTGCACACTCTGCCTCGGAATAACTTCCCACGTGCACACCCTACCTCGGAATAACTGCCCACGTGCACGTCCTACCTCGGAATAACTTCCCACGTGCACACCCTGCCTCGGAATAACTGCCCACGTGCACGTCCTACCTCGGAATAACTGCCCACGTGCACACCCTACCTCGGAATAACTTCCCACGTGCACACCCTACCTCGGAATAACTGCCCACGTGCACGTCCTACCTCGGAATAACTTCCCACGTGCACACCCTGCCTCGGCATAACTTCCCACGTGCACACCCTGCCTCGGAATAACTTCCCACGTGCACACCCTGCCTCGGAATAACTGCCCACGTGCACGTCCTACCTCGGAATAACTTCCCACGTGCACACCCTACCTCGGAATAACTTCCCACGTGCACACCCTACCTCGGAATAACTGCCCACGTGCACGTCCTACCTCGGAATAACTGCCCACGTGCACGTCCTACCTCAGAATAACTGCCCACGTGCACACCCTACCTCGGAATAACTTCCCACGTGCACGTCCTACCTCGGAATAACTGCCCACGTGCACACGGGTCAGCAAACTATGGTTGTCGTATGAGACAACTAAATGGATAGGGGATACATGTCCTAACCGGTTTGGTTGATCGTATCACGATATTGGACGTTGCACACAATATCGACCACTGGTTTGTCTGGTCCAGACTAGATTATTTACAGGCCGCCGTGATATAGCTGGAATATTGCTGAGTGCAGAGTTAAATAGCATTAGCACACTTAAACTTAAAAGCGTTAAACTCACTCACGTGTATCATCATGCACTTACTGGTTGTGTGAACGTTGCGTCGCCTTACTGATAATCAAAGATCTGTTGATCTGTTATTGACAGACACCACTGTCAGAATAACGTTTAACCCCACAATCTGACCTTGCACCTTTGATTGTAATGGGGAGTACTGGCAATTCCGTCACACATGCTCTAGTTCTAATGGAAGTACTCGAGATGTTCACGGTGGTCTTGTCTGGTGCAAGACCCTGGGAGCACACCCGGGAAGCTTTGTACTTATATCAAACGACTGATCTATCTGGAGCGTCTTCTTGATCTGGCAAGCGGGAACATGGGATACTGGAGACCATTTGTCGGTGGACTGACATGCGATAGCCTGATGGCGACTGCTGAGTATTGATAGGTGTGTTTGGTGAGTGACTGCTGAGTATTGATGGGTGTGTTTGGTGAGTCAGCACTGAGTATTGATGAATGTGTTTGGTGAGTCAGCACTGAGTATTGATGAATGTGTTTGGTGAGTCAGCACTGAGTATTGATGAATGTGTTTAGGTGAGTCAGCACTGAGTATTGATGAATGTGTTTAGGTGAGTCAGCACTGAGTATTGATGAATGTGTTTAGGTGAGTCAGCACTGAGTATTGATGAATGTGTTTAGGTGACAATACACAGAGCTCCAAGTACATCAAGTTCCTAAACACATGGTTTTCGTATAGAAAAGTAAACCCAGGTCTTCGGCGTGATGAATCGATGCTTTAACCACTGGGCCTCCATGACAGTGACTCGGCACAGAGTTAGTCAATTATACATTTACATCTAATACCAAAAAAGATTTACAAAGCAAAGTAACATATAATATTCGTATCGCCTAATTCCCGAACAATATATTTTTCTTTACCAAGTGTAGACTTAACGATGTCACTTCTATCGGATGCGGCAACATGTACAAAGCAATGTCTCAAATATGTGTTTCACAACCATGTATTTGTCATTTTATAACATTACGAAAACCTCAACCCCACTTCTTTAGTATACTGATCACAATGTTAGACGTGAATACAAGATCGCTTGACAGCATCTCTGTTGCGGTGAGCACTTAATAGTGAGTGATTCCGGTTTCCGACCGATAACATCTGGGCCACCAGCGGAATTGGCTGTGTGTAAATACTGTCTGGAAGTGCTCGTGCCCCCTCGTCTCCTCGTGCTGTTCGTGTACCCAGTGCACGCTCTCACGCGGCGATCTCCCGCATCTTTCCGCAGCGCTTTATGTAATAGTCTTTAAGTCAATTACAAGTTGATTTCCTCTCTTTTGACAGACATATCACATATTTACAACTCATTTGTATTACTTTCATTGCGGGAGTTTGAAGTCGGGGTGTTCAACGCAATTAGAATGCCGGTGCACCAATGTCAACGAAAGTCATTCTTTGAAAGAAATCGAAAACAGGGCTACATTAAAAAATCATTAATGCAGTCAAACTTCCGTGTTTTGTGTTCGTGCGATGTCAAGCTGAAAAACACGACGGGGAGTCGAAAAGTATAAAACGCTTAAAAGGACAATGCGAGGGAGTGACACTCTTTAGGGAATATTATACAATGAGGATAAAACAACCACATGTCATTAGACTTTAAAACATATGGTTTCATATTGCATTATTCAAAATAGGACACTCCTCTCTGCATGCCTGTGTTGAAATACACATGATGTATGTATACACCGAGCGTGTCAGGCTGACCCCACTCACTGCGAGGTAATTCAAGTGCACATGACGCAGTCATAACCTTGATATGCTAAATTATTAAACTCCAACACACACGCTCTGGTTTCATATAATCTCATTTTAAGCATAATTACTCTCATAGATAATTATCTAATAATTTTAGCAGTGCAACAATTATCCAAATAAATAACGTATTCAAACTAATGTAATTGTTATGTCCCTATTTAAACAAGCCACTCCGTGAAATAGATGAAACGTTGAAGTTCAAATGTTGTACGATGATGGTGTCTTCGTTTAAAAACAATGCAGGTACTAAAAAAGCACGCGTGAAGGGTTCTTTTTAATTGCTTGACAAGCAGGCTTCATTCCAATCTCAGGGGTAGTTAAATAGTTCCTGGTGGGTTAAATGTAACTCTTGTGTACATTGAGGGAATCTGGCAGTAATATCCTCTGCCGCCGATGTATATGGCAGTTGATATATCAACAAATGTTGGGACGATATGTATGGGACTACATACACTTCTGTCCTAACCACAGCCGCCAGACACCCACACTGCAAGGGACATTTCCAAATAACGTCATTAAAATAACCAACATGACTACCAAACAACAAGAAATAAAAAAAAGGTTTATTGAATAATAATGCATAGATTTCGAGATGTGCATGTGAGAGGCATCTCGTTGTCTTGTATACTGTTTTGTCGAAAGTACCCTTTATTCTGAAAGTTCTAGCTGCATTGATCTAAGTCGACTCCTGCCTCTGATTCGAAGCTCCGAGTTCACCACTGGGTTCTAAACACATGGACATACCGGATTAGAACATAAACATTGTTATTTGAAACAGGGGTATAAAATTAAACAACTCGAAACCCCTCTCCCGAAAACTATACAATTCCGAGTTTCAAGTAGATAAGGTTTATAAGGTTATGTAAATTTATATACAGTTATACCGTTAAGCACGATGTCAGGCAGATGGAAAATAAATAACGGTACACACAGATGAGCTGACTTCAAATACCAGGCCACGGCAAGGGAAATACGTGCTCATGGAGTATTGCACGGAAACGATGATCGCATAATTGTGCAGGTGTTGTTACCAAATCAGTTAAACCCTTATTTCGTCCATTTTTATAGCGTTAAGGTTAAGGGTCTATCGTACCAATCAGATATACTTTCATTGTCATCTTCTTTTCCTCTAAGAGAGAAAATACTATAAGTCATACAACAACACATTTATGTGCACAACACTTTATAAACCAAGGCGGGATACGAACTGACAACCTCTTGATAGTCCTCAAGCTATGCCACCTGCGCTATGGAGACTGTTGACGTCATACATGTCAATTCCCCTGGTTACCGTTAACATGGCTTCGTGTACATTGTTGTGTTAATATTGTACCAAAGTCGTTGTTAGTCCTGGTGGGATTTGTGTTAAGCAAGTGCCATATATTTTCAACATATATTATGCACCTTATCCACATTTGACTTAATGCCTAATGCTACGCAGTTTCTTTGAACATGTTTAGATTATTAGGATAATAAACAATGAAATGCATTTTGTCCTGAACTTGTTTAAACACTAACATGTTTAAATTCTGAACATATTAAGTATTTAAACATGTTTAAATTTTAAACATGTTTAGATTATGTGGATGTTGTTTAGGTCGTGTTTAGGCTGCAAGACGACAGTTCATTTCATGTGATGGACCCTAGACGTGTTAAGATAGAAGACACGAAATGTGTATCCTTTAGGATTTCAACACATTCTTGAACACGTTTAGATCTGAACAGGTCGTGCATGTGTTTACAGTGTACAGGTACAAGTGTTAAGGGATTCTCACATTCGATCTTAGAAGTCGATATATGGGGGCAATGAACATCCAAACTGTTGTTGTTTAACGCCGTACTCAGCAATATTCCAGCTATATGACAGCAGTCTGTAAATAATCGAGTCTAGACCAGACAATCCAGTGATTGACATCATGAGCATCGATCTGCGTAACTGGGATACGATGACATGCATCAACCAAGTCAGTGAACCTGACCACCCGATCCCGTTAGTTGCATCTTACGATAACCATAGTCGCCGCTTACGGCTGGGATGCTGAATACCTATGCTCTACCCGGATATTCACGGGTCCAAACTTTTGTTGAGATGGAGGTTTAAGACATTAACTGCTCCTTAAAGACATGGAAACGTTATGAATGACTACGGGAACATTTCTTAGAGCGCTCTTTGAGACTGTCCTTGCCTCACCACTATATAATAGGCTGGAAAGTACGACAGTAAGGAGCGAGAAGGATGTCCCCAACAAGCCACACGTACACACGTTAGTACACACACAGCCCTCTACCCAGCTGAAACAAGGTACACGGGTGGCTCCGTTATCTAAGATGCCGCAATTCATTGTGCAGAGTTGTGTCCCTTATTTCTGCCAGGATTCGATGATCATGATCCTTAATTTGTTAGCCTTTTACCAGTGCACGTGGACTTGGGACTTTCTTCCCGCATTGACCTGGCACGCCATGATATGCTAATATCTGAAATTCTGTTCCTGAAAGCTTATATATAACTTATGTTGTAGCCTTTAAAATATGATGAAAGATTGGAATAGGTCCATACTTAATGCCAAAATAATTGTAACTATTTGAAACTATAATGTTTTATAAAATATGCTTCGTTCCTCGGCCTGAGAGGGCTTCCGTGTCTCAGCTATGGTGGCAGGCGTGGTCCTGTGTACTAGGCATGCGTCACAAATCAGTCGGGGGCACGGATGGCCCAGTCGTCCAAGGCGCCGCAATTCGCTGTGCAGAGTTGCGTCCCTAGCGCACGCCAGAAACCTATGATTGTGGGTTCGAATCCCGGTTCGCCCGATTATGTTTCTAGGTTTGTCAGCACCATACCCGTGCTCGTGGGTGTCACCGAAGTGGTAAACGTCTGAGACCTGCATCACTTCGGGCTTTCCTCCCACATTAAGCTGACACGCCGTGATATAACTCGAATACTGTTAAAAGCGGCGTTAAACCCAACTCACTCACAAATCAGTCGAAGTTAAGCAATGGGTGACTGCATGACTGCTGAGAGTTTCTAGGGCGTCGGCCCTGCTCCCCATCTTCCCGAGGAAAGGGAGTTAATTGACTATAAATCTCTTGGAAGCTGAGAGTGAAATCGAGTGCACACTGATCCAGTGACCGGGGTGTTAACAGTGTAGCGCTTTGAGCATTCCCCCGTGTGGTGTGGCAATAGAGCGCAATAGAAATGAACTATTATTATTACAATAACATCATATTGATCACATGGCTTTGGTGCGCATACACCGCCGTTTAAATGAGGGTGTCAGACTCTTTACAATTAAATAATTTTGTACCGTGCATTTTGAAGGACTTTGTAATTTCTTTTCCAGACATGACGGATGCCTGGGCATGTGTGTGGTTTGTCCTTTGTGTAGCTGTTCTGGGGACGATATTCCGCAGGGTCGTTGCTGTCACATCCAGGGACCCCAAAGTGTCGCGGACTGTCTCAGTGTACACGAGCTGCCTGGGGGATTCTAATGAATGCCAGCGTCCAGTGTCTGAGACGAGGCGCGTTATTCACGATGGTCGTTGCTGCAGTGAAAACATCACCACAATTAATGAAATCTTGAATTGTCAAAACGAGCGATTAAAGTCTGTGTACGGTACCAATTCGCTTCTGATAAAGGAACATGAGCGGTACAGGAAAAGACGCGGGAAAATGACAGATGTGAAGTCAGACGACAATAGCCCAGACGAGAAGGTCACGAGAGCAGACGACAAACTGGAAGAGAGTGCTGGCGTTACTACTACAGACATTGGTGTCAGTGGACACCTTCTAGACACCAGCATGTACATCACATATCATGATAACTCGGGGGAGAAAAGACAAGAGAAAATTACAGTAACGGAGTCTCAATGTAAGAAATTTGCGGACAGTCGGCGAAGACGCAAGAAAGGGGATGGGACATTTTGACATTCCTGCGTGGGGAATCGACAATAACAGGAAGCGTTCGTAAATCGTTGACGACGCTGTCGTGTATTTGTTTCGGGAACATGTAAATATATACTGAACCGCAAAAGAAACGTCACCATGGATAGATATATGAGAAACTTTATTTGTCCAAACACTTTAAACATCCTGTGAGACATATTAAAAAGATGAAACTTGGCAAAACTGATCATCAAGTTTGAAATTAAAGTGTCAAATGTTCTTAAAGTGAAACACAACACTAGTCTCTGAGAAAATGGCATCATAAGTCAGTATCTCGTGTGTCCTCCATGTGCATTGATGACTGCCGTGCAACGTCGATACATGGAATGGATGAGGCGGTTGATGAAGGCCATAGGCACTTGAGCCCATGCTCTGAGGAATGCCTGACGCAGTTCAGCTGCAGTGGTCGGCCTTGGTCAGACGTCATTCAGCCGTCTTTCAATCTCGTCCAACGGGTGCTCAATAGGATTTAAGTCAGGCTGAGGCACTCCACTGCATGGTTCCGATGCCATTCTGCTGGAGGAAGTCTCTTGTTGCTCTCGCAGTGTGGGCACGGGAGTTATCATGCTGAAACTCGTGGTTGTGGCGACGTGCCAAATGAGGTATGGCGTGTGATCTCAAGACTTGATCAATGTACCGAGCTGCTGTGACAGCATTGCCTCTCCCTGGACCGATGTCCTGGAAGACCAGAGAGCAGACCACACCTCTCTCTCTCTCACTGAAGACGGTCCCGGCGATGACGTGGTGTCGAAATGCGGGAACGCACGTGCATTTCAATTTGCACGGAACTCACGTGCATCGGATTACCATGGCCGTTGCCGTGATGCGTTTGGGCGATCGGTTTTTCGTCATCTGCTTTGTTTTTTTTATCATCAAATTTTATTTGTTCCGGACAAGGTAATGTTAAATTTTAGAAAATTTGACAAAAAATACCCAGATATTTAAATGACAACTTTTCATGCAATGTTACCTGGGACGACGTTTCTTTTCGGTTCAGTATATATTCTGTATTAGCTGACTACTTGGTGGCCTCCTGAATACTGTACACATGTACGTTATTGACCCCTATTCCCCGAGAGGTTCCTCTACTCCTGCAGTGTCAGTGCTATGGACGGATGTACGGATAATGTAGGGCAATAGTCAGGTAGACTATCCGCATCCGGATTGCTGGTAGAAAATTCGACAGTAAATATCGTTTTGATGATAAAACATATTCTCAAAATATTTTCTTAATAAGTATCACTGTTTTTCAACCTTAAATTTGAAAACCATGCTATTCGACTTGGCGAAATAGATACCGCGTTTATAAAGCATTACGTTTGTTCGATATTCATCAGTACAACTTCAGTTATCACGTAGGCACGTGACTTCATCCATTGTATTTCATTCCAGAGTGACGTCATGTCTGTCTCACAACTATACAAGTTCACGTAGAGAGAGAGGGTGCATCAAAAAATGACTGACAACGTGTGTATCTTACAATGTCGATGAATATGTCAGAATGGGCAAAATATGTTCGTATTCTGTTCTTCACGATTAATCGAGCTATTCCACAATAAATATCGATATTTAAAAAACCCCAACTCATTAAGTGACCTGACAACAACTGATATCCATAACAAATGCAGCACATACACTTGGTGTTTGTTGTTTTGTTTGTTTAACGCCGCAAATATTCCAGCCATATGACGACGGTCTGCAATTAATAGTGTCTGGACCAGGCAATCCTGTGGTTGACATCATGAGCATATATCTGCGCAATTGGGATACGATGACATACATCAACATAGTCAGCGAGCCTGACCACCCGATCCCGTTAGTCGCCTCTTACAATACGCATAGTTGCCTTTTAAGGCAAGCATGGGTCGCTGAAGACCTATTCCACCCCGGAGCATACACTTGATAGATCATTTGCTGCAAAGACGTTTGCTCTGAGATGTCACAAATACACTTATCCCAACACTTATCAAGAACACTGCACTTCGTATTGTCAGAAACGTCCCAGAGCCTCCTCACATCACTCCTACTCACATCACCCCTACTCACATCACTCCTACTCACATCACTCCTACTCACATAAACCCCTACTCACATCACTCCTACTCACATCACTCCTTATCTGGAAGTCCTGCATTGGTTGCCTATTAGAGCAAGAGTGGACCACACAGTTTGACGTTTGGTTCACCAGTGTCATCACCAGACTGCTCCAGAATGACACAACACTCATCACCTGTAACCCTACAATCTGCTGACCAACATCCTACTACCCCGAGGCGAAACCAGAAATATTTTGATCAAAGATCCTTTAGCTATGGAGCTGCGATTCTTTGAAAGCATTTGCCACTTAGCCTGAGACTATCTACTTCCCTTGACTCTTTCAGGAGCCAGCTAATGACCGCTCTGTTCAGCAAATAGTGAGTGAGTGAGTGTGGTTTTACGCCGCTTTTAGCAATATTCCAGCAATATCACGGCGGGGGACACCAGAAATGGGCTTCACACATTGTACCCATGTCGGGAATCGAACCCGGGTCTTCGGCGTGACGAGCGAACGCTTTAACCACTAGGCTACCCGACCGCCCCTGTTCAGCAAATAATACTATCTATAATCTAAAGTACGCCAAGAAGTGTTTTGTCTAATTACTTTACGAAGTAAAACATACAAATGAAATCGTAGTGAAAATATGTCACACAAATACAACCAAATATATTCGAATGAATTAAAGCTTGAGGAAGTGTAAATTTTAATGAAACACTTGCATTTTGCGAAAACATCGGCTGCACTCGTAGAACTAAATGAACGTGCAAACTTTCAGCGACGGCATCGTGTCAGTAGACAGACAGTGTCACGGCAATAGAGGGAACATGGTATCCGAGCACGTCGACACAACCGTGGAATGACGTTAACGCCACAGCACCATCGAAACAGGCGGGTTTGGCGTTGGCAGATTCGCGAATAGGGACGATGTTTTGCCTGTTTCGAGCAGGTGGGCAACAGCGTCTGTACAGACGTCAAGGTGAACGCCTAGCGCCGAACTGTGTCCAGGATGTTCAGCCTTTAGGAAGCGGCGTTGTGGTGATCTGGGGAGGCATCTGTGGAGACTTGAAGACGAGGCTGGTTATCATTCAAGGCAACACAGCATCATTACTGCACAGAGGTAGCCGGATGAGTGTTGTGAACCGTTGTGCTGCCATTTATCAGACAACAGCGACGCGGTATAGCATCACCAAGCTAGATCTCATACTTCCTCAACAACATGAACGTTAAGGTTTCGCCATGGCATGCATGTTCTCCCGTGATGAGCCCATCGAACATTTGTGGAATGATCTTGACAGGCAAGTCAGAAGGCGACCTGTGCCACCAGTCGACCGTCAGGAGCTTGAGCGATGTATCATGGCAACAGACTCCCGCCAAGGTCATCAGGCGTTTGACGTCACTGGCTCATCGATGTGTTGTAGCCTGCATTGATGTTACTCATAAAGTTTGAGCAATTTATGAGTGAAAATTTGTTCACATGATGCTAAAACGACACTCTCATTAAATATATACTGAGTCAAATTAAAAACTTCACATTTTTAAAAGTAGTCCCATATATGATATACAACGGTCAAATGTATCAGAGAAGGTAATTTTTAATCATTAATGTCCAAAGAAGGATTTTAATTAACGGTGGTAACCATAATTTGTTCCAGGCACCTACGGTATTGGGTAATAACATCAACAGTTTAAATCATAAGTCCCAAGCACGAGAATCTGATGGCACACAAGATCAGTAGCGTGTATGGCCACCATGTGCGTTGACAACTGCCACACAACGCCTCCGCATGGACCTTGTGATGCTAGTGAACACATGATTGTGAAGAGGACGCCATTGTTGCTGCAAAATGGTGCCAAGATCTTGCAAATTCTGTGGTTGGTTCTGGAGAGTGCGCAGACTTCTGCCAAGAGCATCCCAGATGTGTTCGATGGGATTGAGGTCTAGAGAACTTGGCGGCCAGTCCATGACGTTGACTCCCGCATTCTGAAGGACATTCCTTGTCAAAATTGCTGTGTGGGGTCTGGCATTGTCGTGTTGGAAGATCAAACCGGGTGCTGCCATAAAAGGCAGAAGTTCTGGTGCCAGTACCTGGTCGCGGTAAGCAGCAGCGTTGAGATTGCCACAGATGACAAAAAGCCTGGAACGTGCATTGCCACAGAAAGCACCCTAAACCATGACACTTCCGCCTTGAAATCTGTCAACTTCCTGTACACAACACTGGGCGTAACGTACATGACGGCGCCTCCACACCCTCGCCCTACCATCAGCAAATCGAAGGTAAAATCGGGATTCATCCCTAAAAGCGACTTGATTCCAATTCCTCTGAGTCCATCGTAAGTATCGCTGTGCCCACAATTGACGTTGACGTCTGTGTAATTGAGTCAAATTCGGCCCGCAGTATGGCCGTCGTGCTTGAAGGTGAGCAGTTTGAACAGTTTGCGCACTCAGTCTACCCCTAAACAGTTCATTTCTGGTTGATGTAGCCGTCAAAAAACGGTTACGGAGGTGACGTAAGACAATCTGACGATCCTCTGCATGTGACGTCACACGTGGTCGACCTGGCCGAGGGCGATCAGCGGTGGTACCCGTTTGCTGTAGACGCGTCTGTAAATCATAAACAGTCCGTCGACTACAACCCATCGTCCTTGCGACTTCAGCTACGGACGTTTCCGTCTGCAACATGCCGATGGCACGTTCAAGTTGCACATTTGAAAGGCGTGGCATGACAAATGGCCGTAAAGACTTTCGTTTTCTTGTGTGTTTTTGTTGTTGTTAATGACTGCTAACAAGTATGGCTGAAAACACGTGCGGTATTATGGCCACGTGACCAGTTGCACGTGAAAAACCACTTTTGCCACTATAATGCTGTGCACATGATTTTGATCGAATCACCTGCACAAAAACGGGTGTTATCTGAAGACAATACGTGGCCATTACTGTTTAAATACACAATAAGGGCCCACAATGATAACTGGTCAAACTGTTAAAATTTTAGGATTGTGAAGTTTTTAATTTGGTTCAGTATATATACAAACGGAAAAAAGTAACCCTGATGTAAATGTTATGTTATTGAAAACTCGTCATTCGTCTGATCAATGATTGATCATAAACTCATTGACAAAACCTATACCTGGTGTCAGGAGACAGAGCGACACGCCCTAGAAGACGGGTGGTGTAACAACTCAATTAACAATGTCAATATCGGTTGTGACCTCCATTTGCGTTGATGCAGTTGTAGCAGCGGCGGCGCTTTGAAAACACCAGATGATTGAAAATGTCAACCAAAGATTGGCCCAACTGAGCTCGCGTTACCGACTGGTTCTGCTCCTATCGTAGGCGTCGTTCCATTTGCACAAAAGGAAGAACATGACCTCGAACGATGTCGTCCCGGTAACGTACCCCATTCCAATTGCCATTGACAATTGAGTTGTGTTCTACCTTGAGTTGTGACGCCGCCCCATACCATTACACTTCCACCTCCAAACTGACGACGTTTAGAAACGCAAGCGTCGCTAAAACATTTTTTTCATGGGCGCCTTTAGACCTGTGCACGACCGAGCTGTCAGAGCTGTCCATAGGTCACCTGGGCTCATCTGTGAACAGTATACTGTCCCAGTCTTGTCTTCTGAACCTCAGACACTGTCTACCCCAAGTAAGGTGTGCCTGACGGTGACGTGGAAACAAACTTGGGCGTATCTCAGGACGTCGGTTCTGCCACTTACTAGTCTCAACTCAGGAATTGTTCTAGCTGTTAATGTGGCAATTTGGCATCGATTCCGTAGATGCACCTATCGAATATGGTTGTCCTGTTGACGTGACGTCACACGTTGACGACCGGCCCATGGCAAGTCATGTAGACAACGTCTCCAAAGAGATGACATTGTGTTTCGATGAACATTAAATGTCTGGCAACTTCGGATTGCGCCATTCCAGTTTGCACCTTCCTACGGCGCGTATACATTGATGTTCTGTACTGTGGCATGATGTTTAGGGTTAAACAAAAGTGTTTTATGAGCAGCTGATAGCTTAACAGTTATTGTGTGCTGTTCACATTTTAAAAACAACGTGTGTGAGTATCCAAACATGTAGGCTCCAAACAAACACGCAAACATGCAAATTGTGCGCTGTGCATGAACATGCACGTCTTAATTGTGAAAAAACGACTTAAAGTCGGGTATATGTCTTCATGAATATGTGTTGGAAGATGCAATATTTAATTTCTGAATAATGTATTTTTATTGAAATTTATATGAAGCACAGTTACTTTTTCCGCTTACGGATATGTTTTAACCTCTAACATGCTTTCGCTTTGCTTCAGTCATCTTTCAAAGTCCTTGCGTACTTTCTGAACTCGATCAGACGAACCCCAGGGTGTAGGGTATTCATCGGACAAACGGCGGGGTTAAGGGACTTGTAAAAACATACACTGGGGTGTAGGGACTGGATCAGACAACCACCGGGTTGTAGGGG